GATAATTAGGTTAACTAGGCAGGTAAGTTATTGTATAATGATGGTTTGTTCTGTAGACTATCTAAAATATATAGCTTAAGGGGGCTAATAGTTTTAACCTTAAAATGTTTTTTTTTTTTTTTAAATGAAAAACTTTTTATTTCTAGCCGAAATAAAACAAATAAGACTTTCTCCAGAAGAAAAAATATTATTAGACATACTGTGAAAATGTCCTTGATCTGTTAAATGTCATTTGAGAAATATTTTTAAAAGAAAAGAAAAAAATTCATGGCGGGCTAATAATTCCACTTTTATATTATATTATTATTATTTAAATTTAACAATATATATCCATGTTTTAAAACAATGTCATATGGATTACCTTTTTTATTGTCCTCCTCATGGTGTTGCATATACATGTTGAATAGTTGATTTTATTGGCAAAAGATCTAACAGAACAATTAGTGGATATTCAAGGTACTAATGAAGCTTATCGGTTCATTATTATTATCAGGAGACTATAAGAGGAATTTCAGGGTAAAATTAGAATTATGATTAAACCTAAATCTACATATCATTTCATCTCAATTTAATTAACTTAATTAAATCAATTTTATGAGGGTCATGAAAGTCACATATATTTGAAGAAACTTATTTAATTTTAAGTAAGAAAATATATCTATGTTAAGAATCAGTTAAAGTTAAAGCATATATTAATGAGAAATCGTCGGTAGAAATCATCAGAGAGCAGTATTACTTGGGGGGTCAGTAGATGTATTGAAAACTTACATGTGAAAGGGTTATTCCAAAGCTTCAGCAAACATTCACATTAACATTTTATGTACAGTAAAACACAGAATCATTACTACATGACTACGTTTACAAGAATAGTTTTTGACATGTGCTGTTGGTTGACCAAAAACAACAGACTGGGCTGTGTTTGACCAATTAGAGCAAAGCAGAATTTCAGAAAGGATGAGTTTAGAGACACTGGATACTTAAACAACACTTAGACACAGAGAAACGAGCAGACACTGGCAATATATTGTAAACATAATGTGGGAAACTGAAATTATGAACTTAACATAGCACAAAAAGAGCACCTAAAACTGACAATTATGTTATCAATTACTCACCTTCATGCTGTTCCAATCGCCTGAGACCTTTGTTTGTGTTTGGAAGACAAATGAAGATAATTTAGATGAAATCCGAGACCTCCATCATCCTCCATACACAGCAGGAGACCTTCAATTTACAAAGGAACCAAAAACAGTGTCAAAACATTCCACAGGACTTTAGCAGTTCAATTAATAATAGATGAAAATCTTCAATACCTTAAATTGTGTTCCAGAGATAAAGGAATGGCTGACCCTTACATTTAATAACAATGCTAATAATTAATTAGCTTTATTTTTTTAAAGCTGGTAGACCACACAATTTCTCATGAGTCATGACAAGCATGGTCAAAACTCACAAAATTCATCCTATATGACAGCTCAGACTTTCTCTTAACAAGCAAATTAAGAATTCCATGATATATGAAATCCATTTATCGAGTACTTTAGCAAAAAAGCAGTGATTAAACCCTAGTAGAAACACATCAACCCCCCCACCTTATTTAATTTTATTTATTTATTTTTTTTCCCTCTTCCCGCCACTATTCTCTGTATTTCTTAGTTCTTTTATACATACAATATTAACATTATGTTACAACTTTATGTTTTAAAGGAAAAAGTTTATATGTAAAAATGAGAATTTGTACTCATAAAGAGAATGTTAAAAAAAAAATCATCCTATTAAATGTACTATGGCATGATCTTTGATTAGGCTATTTTTAGTGTATTTAATATATTTGTAGCATCTTTGCGTGCTCAAGTGAAATATGAGATATCGAATGATAAACAGATGCCAGGTTTTGTCACTATAAATATACGCCAGGTCAGAGTCCTTGAACACCAAGAACAAAAATGACACAAGGTAAAAGACAACACTGTATTAAATACGAATTGACTTGCTGCGAGTATAAACATGGTTCTGTCGACCAAAATATGTTCAGTGTGGTGAATTACAGTCTGCCTTGAGCATGAATCCATGAAATTGCGCTATAAACAATGTCTGTGTGGGGTCACCCCTTGATGTTCAGTTTAAAAGCTGGGTCTTGAAGTAGAATCTCAAAAATACAAACTACTGTATGGAAAAATCTTAATAAAAAAGCCCAAATTCTACCTTTTAACACATCAAAATGCTCATAGGACTCTAAAGTTACTAATAAAATGCATGTCACAGACTCTGTATTGAGCTGGGAAAAATGTCAGATATTACTTGACCTTCCTCAATTGGTGCACTTCTTTGTTGATAACTTGTAAAAAAATGAGCGGTTGAAGTGAAAGACATTTGAGGCACAGAACCACACAATAGAGCATGTTCAAGACTTGTTTTCAGTCCACACTGCATTTTCCTCCTAAAACATAATGACAGTCTACCATAGCAATTTCCTTTTGATCTGTCTAAGTACAAAACACTGTTATTGCCATTCCTGAGACTAGATTGCGGATGTCAGCCTTTGCCGCGCTAACCAATCAGACGCTTCGCCATGATGCAACTTCGACGAAACAAATCAACATGCTCAGGTCGCTCGATTCTGCCAAATCATATTAGCGAAAAAAGATTATCAAAATAAGGAGCAGTCATCACATGTATAATTCACACAAATACGAGATGTCGAAGATGAAATCTAATGTAGAAATTTCAAATTTAGAACTTTCCTTTTGTTTAATAATTCTGTTTGTTTTGATTTAATGGATGTTACAGTTGTATAAGCTTTAACACAGAACTTATAAATGACACCTTATATATGCGTTCCAACAACTGATATACTATCAGCTTTACCACTAGGCCTGTCTTATCTGCCTCTGAGCTAACTTACCTGAACTGTCTCCTCCATCACCGCTCTTATCAAATGTCCTATCTGCATCATTCGCATGGTCACCAAAACCCATCTTATCCTCACTTTCATCTGCAGGAAGAGCCAGTTCTGTCCTTTTCTTCCTCAACTTATAGAAGGTGTTTTATACTAATACGCTGTTCCCTGCATTTATATGTAATTAAAAGTAGTATTACTATTCAAATGTGATTTTATCCATAATGCAAATGCCATTAACATATGACTAATCAACATTATATTACTTGCATTCATGTTATTGTTACAGCTTAAAAGATCACAGCTGATCTTGCTAGCTAGCTAACCTATTGCAATAATGCACAGTGTTGCCATTTGGCAATACATACATTTGATTGATTTACAAACAACTCATTTGGGAAAGAAAAAAAAAAAAAACAGTGAACTGCACCTGTATGGCAGGGTACTTACACTTTAGCATTTCATTCTAAGCAGTGTCTGCAGTTTAATTAACCATATTTAACTGTTTTTGCTGAAATCATTGCTGTAATCAAAAACAAGTAATGTGTATGGTTCAGCATAGTGTCAACTTACCTGATATAAAAAGAGAACTGCAGAGTCGTGCACTTTAAATAAGGTCCTCACTCCATTCAGCTCTACTGATGGCTATTAGCTAATGATGTCTGTGTGTGGCAATAAAAGCCATTTCTATTTTTGGACTTTTAATTTTGGCATCCTGCCGCACAACACAACATGATTGCTATTGCAACCGTTCTTTTTTTTGCAATCGCTATGCGTGGTTGAACCCATGTGACGTACAGTAGGTTGATAATTCCCCTATAAAGGCCAGCCTGTCAGAAATCGCACCATAGAAAAACACTGCACCTCATGTGTCTTAACCAAAGCAAATCATTGGCTAAACTAAAGTCTTTCCAACTAAAGAAATTTAACATTAGTCTTAAAGAAACAGTGGCAGCGAAATTAACATAAATATCGTTGCCACATGCCAACACCATGCAGCAGAGGGTTAAACACTTTTAATACTAAATGATTCTCTTGTGGCAAATATGACTGACACATTTTTTGGTGTATTTAATCTACATACTGAACAAAAATGTAATAGGTAAATAGGTTTAATAAGAAAAAAACATATATAATCAGTGTAAGATAAAGCACCATAACCTTTATCCAAGTGAACTTTTTAAGCATCGATCCTGTATACTATCAGTCAGAAAACAAAAATGCAGTGAACCAACAGCACAAGAAGAGGAGGCAATACTGTTATAAACATCAAAGCAGGATATCTGTTCTTTAATTCAACCACAGAGCACTTTCCAGCTGTCAAGGCCTGCACTAGAAATTAGAAAGATACAATGGGGAAACTCAACCAGTGGACCAGTGAAACTCATGTTCAACATCTACAACTATAAAGTGATGTATCTCCCCTTTTAGAGTTACAGTCTTACATTATTTCACTTATTTTAAGGTTATACAGTAAAGATACCTTCTTTTTTAACATTTTGAGAGCAGTTAAATACTTAGAGCATATGTACAATAAGGCAAAATTCAAGAAACAACAAATACTAAACAAACAATACTGCAATTACAGCAGCTGTATGTGATTGACATTCAACATAATACAGTGTATACTACCGGTAAAATGTTTGGGTCCAGGAAGAAGTTTTAAAACAAGCTTATCCTGCTCACCAAGGCTACATTTATTTAATCAAAAATATAGAACACATTGTAAAATTGTGAAATGTTTTGGCACTATAAAATAACTGTTCAAAAGCAGTTTATCATTTATTTAATAATTTATTCTAGTGATTTTAAAGATGATGTCTCCAGATCCTTCAGAAATCACTCAAATATTAACAATAATAATTATTAAAAATAATTTTCTTAAAAACATGAAAAAACTGACCCCAAACTTTTAAACTTTTAATTGGTAGTATATACACACACACACACACACACACACACACACACACACACACACACACACACACACACACACACACACACACACACACACACACACACACACACACACACACACACACAATACATACTGTATATATACAAACAACTTTCCAGTCAATAACTTTGGCACAACCTTAAATTTACAGTTTACAGCAAAATTGTATTAGGCAAAGTGGAAAGAATTTATGAAAAAATGTTCAAGTAGCATCAACAATATAACATAAGTGTTAAGCATTACAATCGCTTGAGTAAAGGCATAGTTCACCAAATATGATTTTCCCCCCATATTTACTCACCCTTAAGTGACTTGAAACCACATCAGTTTCTTTAATTAAAACAAAAGATGATGTTTTGAAGAAAGCTGAAAACCTGTAACCATTGACTTCCACAGTAAGAATACATGTATTAAGGACATTTTTTTTGTTTTTAACACAAGAAATAAACTCAAGTTTAAAGGGTGAGTACTGTAAATAATGACAGAATTTAAATTTTTGGGTGAACTTTTCCTTTGATATGACAAAAACTCTCACTCCAGTTGGTCTGAAGTGTCTTTAAATGTAATGCTAATCTTACGACAAGACTCACATCTGAGTGATTTTCTTTAATAACTTTGTGATCTGGATTAATTATTTTCTGACTTTCTTTTTTTCTGCCCAAATAACAGTCATGTTGTATGTTGTATGACCAAAAAAAGTCCAGGACAGGTCAGATTGTACAATGTTCATGAAACTGATACCTTTATGAATTAACAATTCATTCTTAAAAAAAAAAAAAAAAAAGGAAAATGTACATGTATATGTGTTTAACCCAACACTATCAGGATAAAAAGGTAAAACAATCTTAAATTATCAACTAATTTCTTTGCAAAACAAGTTGATTAATGATGGCATCTTTTGAATATTCTCCTGAAAATAGGATTATTTGATAAGTGAGATTATGAATGATTATAAAAAAATCAATTATTACAAAGGGAAAGGAAGAACACATTTGTTTCAACAGCACTGATCTCGCTTGAGACTGAGCAGTACCAGCAGTACCATTATTAACTTGTGCTAATATACAGTAAACCATTCTGCACACCAAGTGGATTTTCCACATATTTACAATTAAGTCTAGGTGGAGTCGAAGTCTAATATGCAAATGCAACTGTCTTTTGGTCTTAAAAAACAAAAGCCCTATGAACACTAATACACAAAATACAAGCAGAAATCTCTGTTTGAGTCACTTCTTTTCCATTCTAACTTGTGAAAACACTCATGAGTAGGCCCACATGGAATCTGCGCGTGCAGAAACCCGCAGGTTTCATCAGATTTTTGGCCCATCAATGAGTCTATTTATTTAGTTGTGTGTAAATTTAAATTTATTCAGTTTTTTTTTTTATTAATTTCAGTGATATTACTGAATAATATGAAAACGTTTATATGATTTACTTACAATACAGATTGTAAAGTAATAATTTCTGTCTTTTAGTAGATATATGGTAGACATATTATATGAGAGATTTGCTTTGTTTACCAAATAATTTGATCTAATAGGATTTGAATAGTAAACAATAAATAAAGGTTAAAAATATATTAATTTTTAACATATTAAATTTTTAGTTACGATACTCCCAAAATCATTTCACACAAATCTGCAGATTTTTCACAATATTCTGTGCAGAAATAGCAAAAGATGCCCGCTGACACTGTCTGGCCCTACTCATGAGAGAAGCACATGAACCTGAAAATAAAAAAAAACCTTCGGCCGACAATACACTGTAAACAAAATATTAAAATAAACCACAAAAAGATTAACTCATAAATCTTGATATGACGAGACTTCAGTGCTGCAAACCTCATAAAAAATCCATGAACCATCAAGAGACGTCCAGTAGGAAAAATCCCAAGCGGACTCCAGCAGAAATCAAAGGAGCATGTAGTGAGTAAATGATTCAGCGGGTCTCTGTATGGCCTACATTTACTCTGTGGCTTCGGCAACACTCACAGGACTGTACTGTTGTGTCTGTCACCATTTCGGGCCACAATCTCCTGGATGGAGGTGTATGTTCCTGCTATGAAGCCCACAAAGCCGAGGACGCTGATGAGAATGTCCTTGGCAAACACCCAGGGCTTCATGTCTTCATTGTGGAAGGTGATGATCTGGAGCAGAGGAGGAATGATGAGGGCCAGAGCGCTGCTGCTCACAGAGCCCACCAGAGAGATCACCAGGTCCAGCTCCGGAATTAATATGGCCAGAGCACCTGCAGACAGAACACACAGGTAAGGTTTCTTTCAGATGGACTGGAGGAGGGTGATTAGAGCATCGGGGATACGCAGATGGTAGTGAGGAGCAAGGTTGGAGGGAGGTTGTTGTGGACAAAAGTAAATACCCGGGAGGCGGGGGTATGGAGTGCACTATGCATTGCCACGATGTGTAATTTACTTTTTTGAGAGGTCCCACTCAAGCTACAGCAAAGTATCAACTGGCATTAGTGGTCATATGATCAGGGCTTGACGAATCATTCAAGGTTTTGCAATAGTTCAGAAGACCAACCACAAAGTCATTGTGGCCCACCGTGCTTCAGTTTTTAAAAGTTTGCATTTCAATCCATCAATACTGGAACAGATTACTAACAATTTCAAACTAAAATGACATCTTTAGTGTTTTTAAACTGCTCCATTTTCACAGGTCGAAGATGCCGGAGTGATGATTGTAGACATACCCATAGTAAAACGTGTGCATTATTATATAAAGATGCACTCTTGTAAGTGTGACCTTTGACTCACTGTGCAGCAGCATGGTAATTAGTTTTCATTAAAACTAAATGTGTAAGGTACCATACACTGGTGCATTTTCATTTTAAATTGCATAAAAATGCTTAAATTTACGAGGTAAAGATAGTATGGACACCAGGTGCAAAACATTTACATTTTAAAACAAAAAAGCATTAGTGTAAATGATACCTTAGTAGACTGTCTGCTTAATATCTACACTGGTGGCCAACATTAATAGAATACTGTACTAGTACATCTACTAGCTTAGTTTCAGTTTAAATTTCCAAACCTTAATTTTGCTATTAATTGTAATAGTGCAATTAGATTTTGGTTTGCACAAGAAGTCTGAGAGGAGTCAGTGCTAATCTCATCATCATCATCATCATCATCATCATCATCATCATCATCATCATCATCATCATCATCATCATCATCATCCAGTCCAGCTGGAAAGACAATCAAAAGAAAAAAAAAATTCATTCAGTGAAAACTTTTTCATTTAATGTTTTACGCTGGTGGAATCTTTCTATTCCCAAACAGAACTCTGATTAACTAGTATCATTTAAACAACCACTAAAAACCAGTGAAACTGAATGTGCCTCACACAGGTGAGTGGGCTTGACAAACCACCTGTAGAAAACACACTCTTTTATCTCTCTGACACTTTGACCGACACTTGCACCAGTCTTGCGCATTTGCACCAGACACAATTTACAAAGAAAAAAAACACATTGGCATTTATGAAGTGTGCTTCAAACAGGTGAGTGAGCTTGACAAGCCATCTGTAAAAACACTCTTCTTTCTCTCTAAAAAGGCACTTCACCTTACTCTAGCATCTAGTTCTCTGAGCACAAACAGTTGCTTTGTGTAATTAGCACTTCTTGTATGTATCACCTCTTCATGTTGAATCACTGAATGCCTCCTCAATTGTAAGTCACAATTACAAATTGACAAAATAAATCCATAGACATCCCCAAAACAGTAAAAAAAAAACCTACTGAACCTTAAATGTTACCCATAGGCGGAGCGTGTGTAAGGCTGAGGAAGGCTCAGCCTCCCCTTGGCCAGAGACCACAAAGATAGCAGCAAAGAAAAAAAAATGCATTGGGAACATGTAACAAGTAAGGCGTAATATGAATGTAATTTAGTGTTGATGATTAACAGAACACTAGCTATTGTAAGTTTGTCAATCAAATTTAAAGTTCCCTTCCACACAAAAATGGAACTGTTCAACCCCGCACGTCACAGTTCGCAGCTACTCTGAAAACCAAACCAAAAGTGCTGGCTAGCGGACTTTTCTGATTTGCTGGTCAAGGACATAAGTAATAAAATGACAAATGAGTATTATGTGAGGGGTATAATAATATATTACACTGATTTAACTTGTTTTCAGCATTAAATGAAATTGGTAGTTTCATTGTAGCGTAGTCTAGCCTATAGCGTAGTAATCTTGTTTAGGCAATCATTTGGAGTTTTACATTTTAAAGGTCAAATATTTATTGCTGAAATACAAGTTCGGTTTTTGATTGGCCTTGTAAAAAAGAGAATGATTTCGTATTCTCAGGGCCGGCGCATCCAGAGGTGAACTAGGCGGCCGCCTTGGGCGGCAGAATAGTGAGGGCTGCGTCCACAATGATGAATTTTCAGCGTCACATGATCTTTCAGAAATCAATATTAATTATCATTATTATTATTATTGGTAATAGCAATAAAAGCAACAAGGAGTAATAATTTAAATTGAAACTGCATACAGTAAGTAATAAATAAATATTTAATAAATATATATTAACCAATTTTTTATATTTAATAAACGCCGCTTTGATGAACAGAATAATTTTAATTGGATTTTTAAATAAAAGTAATAATAATAAAAAATAAACAAACTGACCCCAAACTTTTGACCGGTAGTGTAGATCAGTGGGAGAGTTTAATAAAATAATTTAATGTGCGTTTTGAATATAATAGACATTGGTTGATAGGTGGTGCTTTTGTTAAAACCTGTTTTTGGTCTGTCGGAAATCTTTTTAAATGCATTAAAGGGGAGCGCATATATTAGCCTTACCCTGGAGTTTGGTCACCCTCTGCCTTTGATGTTACCTGAAAAACTATGCGCATTTGTCACTGAAACTGATTTCTAAGCAAAAACTTTGAACGCAAAGGGTGGTTACAACTAAACTGTTGATTTAAAACCCAAGTTAACCGATAAATAAAATCAATTTACAGCAACCTCACAACAGAAGGTTAACAACACTTTGCAGGACAGTTTTTTTGGGGAACATTTTGGAGATGCTACAGTTGTTCTTGATTCAGATCTGTTTGTCTTTACAGGTGGACTGGATGATGGTAAGATGAGATCTCTGTGTGGAGCGCTGGCTGCTGTCAGACGTCTTGTTCAGACAAGGAGAAAAAATGTAAAAAGCCAGGGGTCAAACTTAATACGGATGAGTGTGCTTCATGTTAGTGAGAGGACAGTGGCCATACAGCGCACCATTTCAGCTATGAGTTCCTATCTTAATCTGCTGCTCAGGGGATTGAAGTGAGCATGGAAAGACACTGTTCTCCGGCAACAGGCTGCTTCTGATGTTTGCCGCATCCCTCTGAAAGTTCCTCTCTTTTTCACACTGTGAAGGACAGGAATACACTACTGCTTTTAAATCTTCAAATGCACACATTGCAAATTTCGATCTGCCACACATGAACACACATATTTCTGTCACTTGATGTTTTGTAGATGCTGTCTGCTCTTCATTTTCCTCTTCATTTGACTCTGAACTAAGGCTGTATGATATTGAAAAAATATCAATATTTGGTTTTTCTGTGATAAATATCGTGATGTGAACACAATTAAACCAGATTACCTAAATAGCTCTATTTGGAAATAATTAATCGTTTTAGATTGACTGGAATAGTTTTGCTGGGAAGTGCATCTACATAAAATAGAATAAACCAATAACAAGCATAGTTAAGCAACAGAGAAAAGATACACATTAAATAAACAGTGTTTTATGGTTTTCAGGAGAGTCATACAGAATTCAGGTGAAGAAGTTGAATAGTTACATGCAATACAACACTGTACAGTTTTCACCACATAAATAATAATAAGTTATCATCTGTTATAACTCACTCTCCACTTGTTTCAATTTATGAGTTTTTTCTTCTTTTAAATGAAACCCCCCTCTTTCAGTTGAAGTCTACCTTAGAATTTTTTCAAAAAATGCTACATGATGGGCATGAAGCGCAGCAAGCAGTTTGAGAAGTGGGCGTGGCCAGCAGAACAGGGAAAATCCATAATCCCTGGGTCTGAATGCCCTATATATTTCAACCATTAACCCTGCCGGAAATCTGGATAATTTTAAACATAGCCAAACACGGCAGCACATATACAAACGATGTGTCTGAATGGTAGCGAACTTAATTAATAAAAGACATTAGTCCGCCGTTCTCCAATTCTCGTACAGCTCTCCCAACAAAAACGCTTCCTGTAGATCTTTGCTGTATTGGCCCTGACAGCATTGCAGGGAAAACCATGCAACAAACACATATGACCCTTCATGAATGACTAAATACTGCATGTTGTGTGGAGCAACAGTCTCACATCTTGGCAGGTTTGTAATCGGAAAGCATGTGCAATCATGAATAAGTAAGAAGCAGGGCCTACTCATAGGATAAGAAAACTCAGTTATGAATAATAACGAGAAACCAACACGTCATCACTATACAGGCAGATAGCAATAGGTCACAGATTTTGATCCTGCCCCAATAAGGATTGTAAACCGAGGAGATGAAATTAGCTGACAAAAGCTCAAAATTATCTGTGTTTATCTACAATTAAAGCTGACAGGTGCTAAAGTTGTCTTAAATGATGCTCAACACACACAAATCTGTTAAAAAAAAAAAAAAATTTGCAAAAAAGTAGTCAATGGTTTCTTGAACCTTTAATCACAAAAGAATATGTTTTGACGGAAGCTGGACTGTAAACATTGACTTCCATAGTATTTCTTTACCCGACTATGAAAGTCAATGCTTGCAGGTTTCCAACATGAAAACACTTTTTTTCTTCAACAGAAGAAAGAAACTCATAAAGGTTTATAGAAATTAGCCACCAGATCATTTATTATACCCTGCTAAAAATGTAACTTTGTCATCAGGGGAAATTTAGCTGTTTTTTTTGCATATTCTCCCCGTGTTCGCACAAGTTTCCTCTGTGTGCTCCAGTTTCCCCCACTAGTCCAAAGACATGCGGTAGGTGAATTGGGTAAGCTAAATTGTCCATAGTGTATGTGTGTGAATGAGTGTTTATGGGTGTTTCCCAGTTATGGGTTGCAGCTGGTAGGCCATCCATTGTGTAATACATATGCTGGATAGGTTGGTGGTTCATTCCGCCGTGGCAAGCCGAAAAGAAAATGAATGAATGTTGAGTTTATTCAAGCATTTCTGCAACGATACATCACACACAAACCCAGCTCCAAGTTTGCAGGTTTAACTT